CTCTTGAGCCATCGCCGAAAACCAGTCTCATCTCTACCATTGCATATAAGCCGACAGAATCGGGAGCCTCATGTCAAATCTTTGAAATACGAGCGGTCCGAACCTCCGGACCTGGCAAGCTACAGCCACCTAGCAGACTGCAGGACCATCCTCACGATGTTTGAGCTGTCTCTGGCCAACTGGCCCCCGGTTGCCCGAATTCTTCAGGAGGATGTCAGTGTGCCTGGGTTGAATATCTTCATGGCAGCCGCTTTCAAAATGGGAAAATTTTCAAACACGAAAGTTAGAATCACGAAAGAAAGGACAGGTCATAATCTGCAGTCGCATGCACGCAATGTGTCCCTTCCGGGCTGCGAGTTCCTGCAGGTACCTACGCGGATAGTAAGGTATGTCACTCAATCGCGACTTTGAAGGACAGATTGAACAGAGTACCCCCGACCGACACTGGGAGGTTTAGCCCCTAAACAAGCACCACGACGACATCCCAGTTAATTGCAAGCAGAGCCCGCTGACCTTGAATTTCATGTTCATGGGCACCTTGGAGGTCTCGGCGAAGCCCTGAACTCAGGAGTGGTTTGTGATCTTCTCCATTTGCCACAAGCTGGTCATTGGCACCGCCGTCATCGGAGTTACTTTCCTCGCTTCAGAAGAGCTTTGTGCGTTTCGAGGTTTGCCCAGATTCGCATTCTTTGGGTGTTATAAGTACCGTGGAACCCGGAAGGTAAGTTCCCAACATCTTCAACCCCGTTTTAGTGGTTGATTCCAAGGTTGTTAACGGCGTGTTTATGCAAGAGACCTTCAAGGCCAGCCCAAGGAGATGGGGTTTGGTGGCCCGAAGCTCTACCGCGAGCGTGGTGAATGAGTTATGATGTATTGGTACGATCATGGTAGAGTTGTGTGACGATGGGGCTTATGAGGTGTTGTCATTTTCAAGTTCTTGGCATGATAATTTGTGCCTGTTTAGAGTTGTTAATAATTGTGATGATGCCTGATGCTAATCATTGACGCGTCTGCAGTTGTTGTTGTTGTTGTTGTTGTTGTTGTTGTTGTTGCTGCTGCTGCCACGACTGTTGCTGCCTAATGTTGGGTAGTCTTGCCGTTCCGTAGAGTTGGTCTATAAAACCTTGCCACAGATGGTTGCCATCCACTATCGATTTTAAAGGAAGTTGCCGAGCCTGCTGGCCACACAGGGTGTCTTAAATGTATGCAGAACCGACATCATCCAAATTGCTCACAGGACTGCAGAGGTGAAGTCAGGAGCAGACGAAGCCCCGAACTCTGACTTGGAAGGTCGCTGCAAACGACGACAACATCATGATGAGGCCAGCCTTCAACGAGATCTTAAGCCCGTGACTGTGCTTGGGCTTCCAGAACTATCACAGGCCTAGGCTGCATGATGGGTGCTTGCCAGTGCGAAATAGCTTCAGGCAGGTTACCACCACTCTCACGGTGCATCTTAACCTCATTGCCGCCCAACCGCTGCGTCCGCGGAGTAGACAGTTTCTGCACAGCAGGGCCTACTCTCCTCCATGTGGGCAGAGTTGGGCATTCCAGGCTTGTACAACAGACGTAGGCATCGCAGCCAATTGGATGGCCAAAGACATATGACAGAGTAGCACTTCTCACGCGGCCGTGTAGGTTTAGGCCTTGAAAACAGTGGCCCTGAACCCCCAAAGCATGTATCCCTGCATGTATCCTTCCTCGAGAAGCGCAGGCAGACAGACCTCAAGCGGCAGACTCACGAGAAGCCGCCCCGATGAAATCGGCGGGGTTTTATATGTCAGTTCACCCACTTTTGCCATGTTGGGCCATGAGCATAGCTCACTTCAGTATTGTAGACCCCTTCTTGGTAAGCACTCCATCTTGAATGACCATGCTAGTTCAACTCTTCAATTAATTAGGGGCGGCATAAGTCAGGCGATTTCACTAATCCCAGAAATCAGCATGGCGGTAAATGCGGCTTCGGGTTTGCGATTTGAAGTTTTCGGGGCCAGGGATGAGTACTTAGCGTGTTTGATCATATCATCACGAAAGCTAGCTCTTTGGAGCTTGCGGAGTTGTCGTTACCAAACTTCCTCTCTAGAGATCAGGTGGGTTAACAAGCGACCCCGGGCCCTATGAAAATCAAGTAGTAAACGGGCTTCGGGGTGGCCAGGGGGAGCCCACCCCGCCCTCTCCTGTAGATTGATTTTAAAAGCAATCCTTAGGTGTGTCACCCCCCCCCCCCCCTGTCAGATGCCCGGGGCCCGCGAATGTAATATTTAGTATTAAATTCGGGTTCGGAATTGAATATTTGAATGTTTTGGAGGTTGCTCCTTTGCAAAATATTTCAAAATATTAAAATATGAGATTCGGGGGTGGGAATTTGATATTTTAATGTTTTTCGTTTACGAGAATATTTAAGACATTGAAATATTAACATCCGGGCCTGGCTCTGGCCCCAAACAGCAACAGAATTTTTATTATTAAAAGCATTCAAGAAGTATAAATCATTAAAATATTGAATTCGGGACGCGGAATTTAGATTTTCTAATATTTTAATTTTAATGTTTTTCTTTACCGGAATAAATGAAACACTGAAATATTCGTGTATTTCCTTTACCGGAATATTTAAAACATGAAAATATTCAATTCCAGGCCTGGCTCTGGCCCCGGACAGCAAAAGAGTTTATTATTAAAAACGTTAACAACATTAAAAAGATTAGAATGTTCAATTCGTTGGCGCGGAGTTTAATATTTTAATGTTTCTAATATTCCGGTAAAGAAAACATGAAGAATATAGCAACATGAAATTCGAAGGCGCGGAATTTATGATTTTAATGCTTCAATTTTACAAATGTTTTTGATATTAAATTCTTTTGGACTTTGGCAATTGGGGCCAGGACCATACCAGGCTCGGAATTAAAAATTGTAGTGATTTTAATATTTCTCTTTTACAAAAATATTAAACACATTAAATGCGGATATATTTAAATCAGGAAGCGTCCAATAGCAACATGTTTTGCCAACCCATTGTTAGGCAAAATTTGCTGCGATTGACTTGTTCGTGGTTATATGTAAACCAGGAAAACTGCCAACAGTAGTAAATCTTGTCAACCCATTGTTAGGCAAAATGTTCTTCGATTGACTTGTTCGTTGTTAAATGTAAATCAGGAAACAACCCACAGTTTTAGCAAATTTTGCCAACCCATTGTTAGAAAAAAAGGCTGGGTTGACTTGTTCAATCATAGAGCCTTCGTGCATAGCGCCAGGGCACGATCCGCATAGCTTTGGTGCATAGCGCCAGGGCACAATGAGCGGCTACAACAATCAGAGCTCTGATGCATAGCGCCAGGGCACGATCAGCGGATACAACATGGTGCATCGTGCCAGGGCACGATAAGCGGATACTGTAATCAGAGCTCTGGTGCATAGCGCCAGGGCGCGATAAGCGGATACAACAATCAGAGCTGGTGCATGGCACGATAAGGGGATACAACAATCAGAGGCCTGGTGCATATCGCCAGGGCACGATAAGCGGATACAACAATCAGAGCTCCGGTGCATAGCGCCAGGGCGCGATAAGCCGATACAACAATCAGAGCTCTGGTGCATAGCGCCAGGGCACGATAAGCGGATATAACAATCAGCGCCAGGCACGATCCGCATAGCCTTGGTGCATAGCGCCAGAGCACGATAAGCGGATACAACAATCAGAGCTCTGGTGCATAGCACCAGGGCGCGATCAGCGGATACAACAATCAGAGCTCTGGTGCATAGCGCCATGGGGGGTCACCGAGTTCTCGCCATTCTCCAGCCTCCACTGTTTGCCTCTGGGCGAATTCCGAAGCTCTCGCCGAGTTGTTGCAGAATTCCCGAACGTCCTTTCTAAACCAAGGCATTGCGTCATTCTTCGACCCCCACAATTTGCCTTCGGGCGAATTCCGAAACTCTCGCCGATTTGCTGCAGAAATCCGAATCTACTTTCAAAATACAGTGCGTCTGCTGGACAAGAGACGCCAGCTTCCAGCGTTGGGTACCCTTCAAGCCTAGCTTCCTTTCAGGTTCGCATTTCCGCATTTCTCAGCCCCCAATCGTTGGGTACGTACCCTTCATTTCTTAACCATTTCTTAGCCGGGGATCGAGCCCATGAAAGTTCATCAACTGAGCTAAACTCCGTAACCATTCGGCCGGACAGACACCGCCAAGACAGTATTACAGTAGACTTCAGTGTTTAGTGTCTAGATGCAACTGCCAGAACAGGGTCCGGCTCTGTAGTGGGCCACGCTGCCCTGTGCCCTAGGCTTAGGGCTTGGAAACCAGCCAAAATAAGAAACGTAGCACCCTACATTTCTTATTTTGGCCTCTGCTACATGTTGTAGTGTCACGACCTGGAAACCACAGAGATAAGAAATGATCCTAGAACGTTGGGTACCGTTCATGTCTTAGCTAGAAGGCAGTTTAAGATTTCGTGTTTTTCGTGCTGTCCGGCGGACGTAGCCCCTACGTTTCTTATCCAGTCGTTTCTTGTACAGTGATTGCACTGTACAGCGAAAGCACTGAGGTTTCGAGCAGAATACAGCTTTGAATAGTTTTGATAAATGCAGTTTCGGATAGCATTTTAAAAGTCAAGGTTGGATAGCTTTGTCTTTGGAACTTGAAGAAAACAGTCTCGAGTGATGTGAGTTTAAAGCCCCGGGTTGCAGCTTCATGATGATGATGCTGTTGTTGCTGTTGTTAATGACGATGATGATGATGGTGATGATGATGATGATGATGAGCACTACGATGACGACCATAATGATGTGACTGAAACAAACTGAAACACGGACCAAAGAGTCTAACACTTGTGCAAGTTCTCAGGTGTCAAACCTTCGTTGGGATGTTTCGCACCAGCAACCGACCAATCAATTGAGAGGAGTTTGAGTAGGAGCATGCGTCGTGCGTGCAAGCGTCGGAGCTTGATTGCCGGCATCGCAGCAGTTGTGGCCCGTTGACTTGACTTAGCAGCCTTAGCAGTCATGGGCGTGCCGAGGGCCTTCCGAGATGGGGGCCTCGGGGCCTTGCTGCTGCGCGTCATGCTTTTGACGGCAGCGGCTGCGAGGTGGGAAGCGGACAGAAAAGCCACAAGGCCCGTGTCCTCCGCTCAACATTCACCAGCTTTACGCTGCTGGTGCATCGACTTTTTTCAAGTGAAGAGAAAGTGGCTGGTAAGCTCGAAGTGAACGAGATGCAGCAAGCTGTGGCAAACGTCGGCTGCGGTATGCTCCCCAACTGCCCCGTGGATCAAGACCCGGGTCCAACCCCTTCAGATGCCGGGCCGCCCAAGACGAAGTGCACCTTTGCAGCCGAAGCCGCGCATCTGGGCTTCGGAGCTTTGGTGGGAGCTTTGTTTGATATGTCTCCCTTCTCATGGTACACGGAGAAGGACGACCAGCTGGTTCACACTGTTGCCCCGAAGCTCGGGCAGCAAACGGCAGCCGCCAACTTCGGTGCTTCCGAAGGCTTTGGTCTCCACCAGGAGCGAGCAGTCGATCGCCACCCCCTCAACGAGTGCATGCCGGCAATCCAGATGCTCAACCTCTTCGTCGTGCGGGGCGACCCAGCGGGTCGCTCAAGAACGCAACTGGCGCCTTTGCCAGAGAGAGAGAGAGAGAGAGAGAGAGAGAGAGAGATAGAGAGAGAGAGAGAGAGAGAGAGAGAAAGAGAAAGAGAGAGAGAAAGAGAGAGAGAGAG